AGCCTAGTTTTTTAACCACATTGATATTTGATTTTTCTGTGATTTTATATTGTGATTTTATCTTGTGTAAATTTCTAACTTGTAAAACTTTCATTGCTAGCTGCTTGCCTAGTGTAGGCCTATTATTTATTCAAGTATGTCGCCCACTGTGATTTAACTTTTTTATACTTAATTACTATTGCATATATTATTTAGTAAGCCTGTCTGTATTATTCATAATTTATCTTATAAGTACCTATTTTTTGTGCATGTAAACCTTAATTGATGTAGCTTGATTGCATGTACTTGTTTATTATATTGACATGATCTATTGCATTTTATGTATAATGTTTAATGATCAAATAAATCTATCTATCTATCTATCTAAGAAGGTTTTTGGCCTCGCCAATAAGTTTCTTCCACTGCTGTAAATATTTACAAACTTTATATTTGTTTAATAAGTCTCTTTTGATTGGTACCAACCACGAATACTAGAAAAAAGTTATAGTTGGTTATTATTCAAGCGTTCGAGTTTTGATCAAATTTAAAACATACGAGATAATAAATTAAATTTTATTTAAATAAATAACCATTTATAATAAATGTTTGATTTGAATTACAGAATTTAAACCATTCATTGTTTAATGGATTCCTAAAATAAAGAGATTGTTTAATTTTGACAGGAAAAGATGAAAATATAATTTCTGCATTAAAATAAAATGCAAAAATATAACTCGTGACTTTTCTGTCAAATGAGCAACATTACTCTACTCTAATGGACGCGACAATAACCCAGCACTTAACCAAAAAGAATAAATCTTAGGTCTTGAATATGAAATGTTCCATCGGTACTTCGAGCGGTTTCTCATAACCTTGTATATTGTTAAAATCTTGTTATTCCAATTCATCCAAAAACATTATAGTTTCTACAGTAAATTAACACACTAAAATATAACTAATCCATTGTAAGTTTCTGATATGTTTCACAAATATATCATTAGTACAGAATATATCATTAGTACTATTAGTACAGAAATGAATTAAAAGTTCGCTGAAGAAGTCACAAAAGATAGAATGCATATAAGTTATAAGCCACTTAAATTTGAAAGAGGATTTTCTCAGAAGATTACAACTGTTACAGGAGTGGCTCGGAGGATCGCGCCAACTTTTGTTCTGTTTAAATTAATTTCTCCTCGGCAATGATCGATTGTTAGTCTGACAATTACAAGGTAATGGATTCAGCTTTCGATTTCGAAATAGACAATAACCATTGTTCGCTTTAATTTGTACATCGAAACTCATTTGTACGATTATTTGATTAATTTATTAAAACCATAAAATAATTATCGTGGCCCCTAATTTTAAATTCAATTTTAAACTACTTGTACGCTATATATATATACATACGCTATATGGATTTACTTAGGGAACATTAGATTTGATATTTTAAGAACAAAAAAAGTAAATATTAATTTCATCGCGATTAAATATACTTTCGCATTCTTTGTAATGGTGTAATACCTTTTCCATTCCAAAGAAGGCGAACGTACGTTTAAGTTTCATATCTCTAACATAGGTTAGTCTACCGGTTATAATCTATATGTTACGAGTTGGGAAACGGGGAACCGGCCACCTCTGGCCCTAATCCGTATATATAGAAGTTTGGTTAGGTTAGGTTAGCTTAAATTATATAAATGTGGCCCCTGAATTTATGGCCAGTGGCCGGGACCAATACATTCTAAGAGTTACCATACGAGTGTCATTTAAAATACTTGTGGTTCAGCGGTTCATGCAATGAAAAAGATTTAAAACACGATCAGTAGAAACAAGTTCTATTCTAGGTTCGCGCAGTTTCATGGAAGTTGTGGGATAAAGTATCTAGATAATCGATCTAGTCTTTCTTAATAAGCCTCTTTGGCTTTAGCTTTACAATCAAGTTATTGATTTAGGTCCTGTCCCCACTTGGACTGCGAGAGCTCTAGTGGCAAGTGCAGAGCTTCTTGTACAAGAGACATAAGTCCAAATCCTTCCTTTCACTAATTTGCTATGTGATAATACATGAAGAAAGAAACAGGGGTATTAGATGAGGAAAACTACATCTGTGTTAAAGATTTTCTCACAATTTATAATGTTTTAAAATAATTCAGTTACAAGTTACAGAATAGACTGAAGAAAAAATATTGGTAAAATTATAATAAAGTCTTACTTTACTACAGAATAAGTACACTTTTAATTTGTGTTTTTGGTCTTTTTGTTTATTTATTGAGATTAGAAACGTAACTGTAGTATTATTGTTAGAATCAAAATAAAAAAAAAACAATATTGTTAAATTAATGAGATGAAATTACAAGGGTCACTAAAAGTTTCCAATAATAAAGTGTTTCTATTCAGGTAGACACAAATTACATCATAAGGGCATTCTAACTGTAGTTGAAAGTTTAATCAGAACACCATTCAGAGATAATTAACTACTCTATATATAAACAGATCGATTAATATGCAGTACGGCTGACTCGTCCATAACATTCAAAGTGGTTGATCAAATTCTATGGATGCTGCTTTAGGTTATATTCTTACGTTAATATTCTATTTTTCGTTTCTTCACTGTTTTGGAGAGGTATTTTATTACTTTTTTCCTTCGAACTCATATTGTGGAAATTATCTTAAATAAATGAAAAAAATAAAAATCACTTTATTGTCACATACACAAGAATACATTCCAAGTTTCTAGCGCAGCTAGAGGAACAGGTGACATTGTCAAATATGCATAATATAAAACGAAGAAAACATGCCATAAATTAAAATAGTATTAAAGTAAAATTAACTATAAACTGAGTTATTGCCCAAAGTGTGCACCAATATTATTGTCATCCAGAAATTCAGATACAGAATAGAAGGTTTTTTCTATTAAATACAGCTTAAGGTCATTTTTGAATTTAGTTATGCAGTTAATATTTTTGAATCTATTTGGTAGACTATTGTAAAGCCTGAAACGCATAGGCCTAGTAGGGTGACTTTTCGTACAGACAAAGACGATGCCTTAGATACTGCAGGTTATCTTTGAAACGTGTGGGGTAGTGATGAACAATCTGCTTACTTACATATTTGTGAAAATTACTTTTTAAATTTACTAGAGTTTTGAAAATAAACAGTGAAGGCGTTATCAAGACTTCGTATAATATGAACTATTTTATCTTGTTTATTTTATCCTTTTAACTATTATTTGTATCTTGGAGCTAACTCAATTAAAGTATAAAAAGCTTAAAGATGAAAATGTCAGTTTATTTTTAAATTTACAGTCCATATATCGATGTATCATTCATGAATTTACTGATTTTCTAGACAGGGGGTTCGGACGGATCTATACGGGAATTGGAAGCTTCAAAATTACCACTACTATCTAAATGATCAACCATATTAAACTTCAACACTTGAGCTCAATATAACGTTTTAAATAAGAATACCATAATTTCAATCAGCAGACCAGAGTTACTTCAATCATTAGGTATTTTTCCTACATCAACAGTTTGTTAGACTAATGAAACAAGGGTAAATTGAATTGGAAACAACTTTATTCGCAATACTACATTACGTACTATATTACTAGCCTCACACATGTTTGATATATTACCAGATATGTTTGGTGGCCAGACTCCTCTCTGAAACGAGATCGACAGCTGCTAAGTGGTTCCTCACAGAGTAATTTCTGTCTCGAGTGGCTCACGAGATGAAGAGCCTTTTTCAATTTGTTATCAACAACTCTGTTGGTTTTCAATACAAAACCCCATGGCTGATTATTATTTTATAATTTAAGATTACGTATAGCTCACAGATTTTATGAGAACAAAAATTTTTTTTAATAGTGTTAATTAATGTTACTTCTTTAAAACTTAAGCAATTTGCACTGTAAGGAAAGTGGATTACTTTCACCTCTTGAGGATGTAAATCATACCTGCAGTATTATTACTATAGTACTCAAACTGGGCTGGTTAATGGATAAAGAAATATAGCCACCAAACATGATCTTAAAGAGAAAACAATGTTAGTGGATTGCATTAAATGATTCAATCTGGTTTCTTTTACTTCAGAAATGTTTAAGTTGTTTTTAGTTGCCAGGTGTGGGGGATAAATAAATTGTTATTGTACACCAACCATCGATAACAATTCCTCACTATCATTCCGCATGATTGGAGTTTTCTGTGGGACAGTACTAAATACTGAACAGAGCATTTCGGTATGTCAATGTCAAAAGTAAATCAAATGTCATGTTACGTGAGATGCCTAATGCTAAATTAAACTGTATCACTGTTGAAAACAATAAGATTGGACCGTTAGCAATAAGTCAGTGGACATGTAGCCCTATGAGTATGTCAACAATTATAACTCATTGAATAAATCATAAATGAATATCACATTTAATTTGGCATAATGGACAAACACTTATGGAAGGTGGATGATGACATTTTCGGGTAACAAACAATCCGCGTCAATATTGATTATTACACATAAGTCTCACAACATGATACATGGAGCTTTTTTATTTGTGAGTGAGTGAACTACTGGACCTTTGAAACTGATTACCTTCTAAAGAAACTTCTATAGGAAAATGTGTCATTAAAACAATTTAGTTGACAGAGTTTGCTGCAAGCTAAAGTATACTATCCCTTACGTATTGTTACTGTGTTAGTTGATAATACAGGAAATGTGCTATAGTCAACAAGAACCTTTTCTTAAAGCTTTGCTTAGTTAGAATGTCGGTGTTTAAAAAAAAATCTGTATTGTAAATCATCATAAAGCAGTATAAAAATCAGCTCACTCTATCAGTGGTTCTACTTAACTACTTATTCTGAAAAAGGCATCAACTCAAACATGGGAATGGAATCTTTGCCCATCGACGTGGTCTCCTCCCCACAGTCTTCTTCTGACCATTATACCACACCTTTAATATGGGAAAGGAATGTATTGTTCAGAACGTAGTCAAAGGTAATCTTCTATACTTAATCCATTCTGTTTGTCCATAGACGAGCGAGGCTGTCCCGGCCGTAAGGATGGCATGACGACATATTACAACTTCTCCGCTCTTAACGTCACTGACTCTCCCGCTGTCGAGGCGCCGCCCCTCCACTCTCTTGTGGTTCTGTACGTCGTGGTCCTCGTGGTCGGTCTCCTGGGGAACGCCTTCGTCGCCGCTGCCATCTGGAGTCAGCGGGTCGTCAGGAACATCCTGCTGCTGAACCTGTGTGCCTCAGACTTCCTCGTGTGCTGCCTCAGCGCGCCCGTCAGCATCGTAGCGGCACTGCAGCAAGGATGGACCCTAGGACTGGTGCCGTGCAAGATAGTGTTCTTCCTTCAGGTATAGTTGAAGAAGATGACATGCAACTAAAATGCATCATTCTCTATATCCACGATTTTTCAAGATAGTGAAAGAAATTCCATTTAATTTAGAAACAAGCTGGTCTAATGGTTGGGAAGGGGTCTTAAGACGCGGGGGTTTTGGGTCAAATTCTCAGAAAACAAATTTTCATGCGAAGTTTTCGAGGTGGCTACAAATTTACTTAGACCTACAACAACATTTTGTCAAAATTTAATAAATCCAAGATAATGTTCAAATTATTTTATTATTCACTTTTTCTTATGTTCTCTATGTACTTATACCAGTAATTATGTTACAGGGTGTGCCGGTGGCAGCCAGCACTTGGTCCCTAATGATGCTCTCCTTAGACAGATACACATCCATCCAACATCCACGTGTTCTCACGAGGTTCCGCGAGAGACGCCATCTTTCTTTTCTCATGATCGGAGTTGTCTGGTGTGTCTCTCTGGCCGTGTGTTCTCCAATCATATACAGGTTACTTTTAAAACACTTGTTAGTATTAGTAACACTTTTTAAACTCTACAATTAAATTTCCACCAGCAAATAGCTGAAACGGAGAGCACTCAGTTTTATGTTAGTGTGTGTGACAACTTATTAAACAGTTTTAGCATACTTTATGTCACATAAACGATTCCAGTTACAAAAAAATAAAACTATTACAAAAATAATCTTATTCTGTTGCACACTCAGCGCACTGTCGAACCACTATGTTCTCACTGAATTAAAACAAAACAAAACTTTGGGTCCAAAAGTAAATGCTCACACTTTTATTCTCACATAGGAAAAAGAATAAAACTAAAATGTGAACGAATTTTTTTTTGGCCTATGACCCAAAAATGGTACCATGGTCCCAGAACTAAGTATTATATGTTGTCTTATCTGTAAGGAAATTTGTTGAATTTTATAATGTTAACCATAAGATGATGATTCTAGTCGCACCATAATTGGCGACCCCGGGCCATGCGAAGAGGTGTGGGAAGACACTTCTCTCTGGACCACCTTCGTACTTGGTCACGTGACCCTGGTATATTTGCTGCCTGGCTTGACTGTAGCAGCCTGTCATCACTCTGTAGGCCACAAACTGTACGCTGCTTCTCTGTCAGCGGCCGTGGCCAACGGGGACATACCGCTGCCCATGCCTACCCTCTGTCGACCCAAGGAGGTCATCATCATCGCCTCCGTACAGAACGACATGCCCTCCAAGGTCAGGGCTTGGCTTATAGAAAAATAAAATAGTATTGTACTGTTGTATGGGATTATTGGGATCATGTTTTCTCGTTTTGGATTACCAAACGTGATTCGGTCTTCGGGTGAGAAAGTACCTTTACCGAAGGAAAATCGGCCGAGAAAGACCATGACCAAAGCTGTAAAATCACCTAAGGAAATGACAGATCGAACTATATTAGTCTAGACTAGACACAATAAACTGAAATGGCGGCCATACAAATTATGTCAAATAGCAAGTAATGCAAACAAAATTGAAACTGCCCCACTGTATTACGTTTGGAATCTATCAACGAATTTTTTAGTTTCAATATAACTTAAAACATTTTATCCTCCTTTAGCCTCATTGATGTTATGATACTCTTGGTGTAGATATTCATCTATTTATACAAAAACGAATAAAAGCATGAGTCAATGGTAATTCTTAATCCACTGAGTAAATCTCGTACTATCCTTTTCTTCCTTAATTCATACCAGGACAAACGGACAAGTGATTGTTCATGCTCTTTACAGACTGCGATGAACTGGGGCCGCGTCCCATTGCCACTGAAAAATGTATCGGTACTGTGCATTCATGTTGTGTACCAGATCCCTCTTGCTTTCTCTGCAAATACCAAAGGTGCACATGGATGGGCAAGTTCAAGATTAAAAGGAGAGAGTTAATAAATAAAATTAAATTTTTTTCTCCATTAATTTCATATCTAAAAACATAAAATATTAGTCCGTATGGTTTCTATTTACGTTAAAAAATAGTTTAAGTTAATAATGTATGGGGATTTTTTCAACATTGACAATTTGACAAAAACCTAGTTATTTAATCTACCTATACCCTAGGTTATTTATAAAGAAAAACTATATTTAATCTTATATTGGTGTCTAATATTGGTTGTTTATTTATTTTGAAAGAGCGGGGGCCACAGCTGCTTGCAAACAAATGGCACAGCTGATTCTGTGGATACCCGACAGTTGTATTTTTACCCTAGATATTACACAAATCTGCTTCTAGAAAATATAGAGGGATGATGATTTTTTAACATTTGGATTGATTTCTAATAAAGTGAAGTATGGATTTTGTGTTTCATCATTTATAAATATTTAAAAGATAAATAAATACAGCCTACTAAAAATGCAGTGCTGTGGTTAGCACAAGTCCTGGCATCCACTGCTAGGAGTGTCATGCAGTTACGTAGTGCGTGTGCCGCAACTACACGGCGCTCCTAGAGGTGGACGCTAGAGCTTATGCTAACCGCAGTACTGTTGTTGGTCTATATTTAATTCTATTATAAGTATCGAATGAACAATTTGTGCAGGTGATTCACTACAAACATGACCAAGAAGACTCGGATGACGCTAAGAACGGGGCGAAGATCAGGAGTGACATAGCGGAGCATCGGCGGGGAGGGACGCTCAAAGGACGTCCGCAGACAGACTCCCGCCGCAAAAAGCTGCCCAAGTCACCCAAACAAGCGCGGGCTGCGCGGAGTCCCCGGCGACCACCTCTCACTAAGCAGGCAAGTCGCCAGTCCCTCCACAGTCGCCGACGACTGGCGCAGATGTTGGTGGCGCTGGTGGTCGTGTTCGCCACTTGCTGGCTTCCCTACGTCACTCTCAGGTAGTCTTTGTGTTCACCTTCATAACCTAGAACGCTATGAACTAGCTTAAAACAGGGGTTCTCATTAAATTTAGGCTAGGCTTGGATGGCAGTGGTGTTATCACATGTCATTGGTGATTGACAAAATTTGAACCTCAGACCTTGGGGCTTGGTGAATAAAGCCCTATGCTTTCTAATTAACCAGATCGCTCCTAAACGCTTAAGCATTAGGGTCTTTTTTTAATGATTTACGATGTTGTGCATGAAATATTCCAGAAAGATTTAGTGAGACTAGAGTTTACCCGTAGTTACCTGAAACAGAAAGAGTATTGAGGAAAGAAACATGAAAGACGAAACGATTTTGTGACTCTAGATTACTCTACTTCTGGTTGAAGTGTAGACCCCTCCTGGGGTCATGACTGCTGTGGGCCTTTAGCCCTGACAGCTTATTAGCTGCCCGTCAATATCGGTGGTGGTGTGGTTACTTAGTCCAGCATTCTGCGACGGATTTGCGGGAAACAAGTTAAGTTAAGTTAAGTTTGCTTAAGTGTATACGTAAAAGATACTTGCATAAAAAGAACTAACCAGTAATTTTTAATGCGGAACTATACGGTTACCAAATCATAATCCTACCCATTAATGGACGAGTATAACTTCAATGGCTTTAGAACTGTGTTAACTTACTTGTCGATTTAATCAAGAGGCGGACAAGTGCGAGGCGATCTCCTACACCAAAACCAGACGGCAGGCAGATGGACATCACCTCACCATCGATCGCCACCCCGTCCCTTGGAAGAAGGTGGTGAAGTACCTGGGGGTACTCCTTGACCAGCGTTTGACGATGACACCAAACGTCACAAGACTCCAGACACTCACTGCCAGCGCCATCAGGAGCCTCGGCCCTCTGATCCAGAGTCTTTTGCCGTTCTGTCTAGTCCTGGACCACACACACTCCACGATCAACCCCATCATCTATTGGTTCCTAACCCTATACATCATGGTATAATGACCGTGTTATGTTTCAGGATATACTCAGTAACTTCTTCTTCAGACCCTGCTCTGATCCAGAGTCTGTTGCCATTCCGTCTACTCCTGGACCACACACACTCCACGATCAACCCCATCATCTATTGGTTCCTAACCCTATACATCATGGTATAATGACCGTGTTATGTTTCAGGATATACTCAGTAACTTCTTCTTCAGACCCTGCTCTGATCCAGAGTCTGTTACCGTTCTGTCTACTCCTGGGACACACACACTCCGCGATCAATCCCATCGTTTATTGGTTCCTAACCCTATACATCATGGTATAATGACCGTGTTATGTTTCAGGATTTACTCAGTAACTTCTTCTTCAGACCCTGCTCTGATCCAGAGTCTGTTACCGTTCTGTCTACTCCTGGGACACACACACTCCGCGATCAACCCCATCGTCTATTGGTTCCTAACCCTATACATCATGGTATAATGACCGTGTTATGTTTCAGGATTTACTCAGTAACTTCTTCTTCAGACCCTGCTCTGATCCAGAGTCTGTTACCGTTCTGTCTACTCCTGGGACACACACACTCCGCGATCAACCCCATCGTTTATTGGTTCCTCAACCGCCAATCCCTGCAGACTACCTCATGTGTAGCTTGGCTCAGGAAAGGCTCTCAGAGAGACAAACTAGCCAACCACTTCCGCTTCCTCGGCAACAACCCTGTGGATCATCGTCGACCTTCGTCTACCAATGAGGCTGCTCTGGGAGCGTTCCACCCGAGATACACGGTGCCCAAGACGCGGCCGAGGGTACATCAACCTAGAGAGTCTTCGCAGTTCTACGCCTAGCAAACCTACGATCATCCTTTTGTGCAAGCGTAGAAAAGGAATCTATCCATGGGGATTTTTGTGACATTTAAGAGTCTTATTTTCCTTTTCCTGGATTGATAAAACTTTGTTGTTCTACCATTAAGTCGCAAGAGTTGCCTTAACTCTACATATGTATATTAAACGGAATAATAAATAAATTGGTGTATTAACTTTGTAAAAAACTGTCAGTAACTCGTTAAGACAATTTATTTGATCTAATAAAATCAAAAGAATGCATCCTACTAAGAAAAAAAACATAAATATTATTCTTATTTATTTTAATATTTAGTTCTAAAGCACAACTTCTTAGTAGACGCAGTATGAATTTTTCTATAATTTAAAGAGGAATTGTTTTTGAGGCGAATGTTGCATTGGCACCCTCCCCAATAGTGCATTTTGCCCTTACTAATGAATATCATCCTCCTAAAAAAACGTGTACTTCGAGGAAGTAAAAGAGTATTTTTTTACCACACATATTGTTATCAGTTTGCATATTTAACTATTATATTTTTACTGTTTCTTATTACAAGACCTCTTGAAGTACAGGCATTTGAATGAGAAAGTTATAATCGTAGTCAATAGAGGCTTGCTTAACCGAATTTAAAGATATTAACTTCTGTTTTTAAATGAATTTATTAAAAAAAAACTAGTGTTTTTATTATGTGAGTAGACAAGTTTTTCTGGAATTGACAGGCCTGTACATTTTTTTAATATGTAGTTTTCCAGTTCGGTTTTATGTAAAACATCTTATGTAGTGAAAAATGCCTATGAGCTTATAGTGAAAGTCAAGGTTGTTTTTTTCTCTAACGTCATGTTTTGCTGTGAATAATGTTCAAACGAACAGTCAATGATATGGAATACAGTAGTTTCTGTTTATTTAAAATTTAGTTTAGTCTAAAAGTGAACCGAGTTTACAAATAAAACTTAAATGAAAGAATTTTGAATTTTCACAATCAGGTAAAACTATAACGACATATTGTTAATATCTAAAGGAAAATTGTTGAAGTTCAAACCACTGTTGTACATATTTTGTAATAATGTGTATAATGTGGTTAAATGTTTGTATAGCTTAAAAATTATTCAAGTGTCAAACTGTGTTGAATATGAACACACTGTTACCCATGTTGTTATAAGGTGTTAGGCGTGAATCTACTCTTCATGGGTGTTTACTGCACTTTCCTATCATTTATATTTATAAATATGTCTAGACATTTATAAATATTTTGTAGAACATCCTCTTTGTGACAATCAGGGCTGGTCCCTTGTGAGTAAAGTGCTACGAGAAAGCTTCTTCTGTGAGATAGGTGTAAAGTAAGTTTATATTTCCTATGGTAAATTGTTAATACTTAAAACGTTACATGTCACACATTTATGTTTATAGTGTAAAGTAGTATCAAAGATTCAATTAAGAGTAATTACATTGTGAGAAATGCCGTAATAATATAAACTTTTGTAGAAACTTTCAAGACTACAGGAGAACCTCAATTAAGTACTAAGATTAAAATTTAACTACAATTCATACAGCGATCAATGTAAACTAAGTTAAAGATATGTGAAAACTGGTGAGTTATGGTTACAAGATCGTGTAAATTACTATTGACATTAACGTAAATCGTTATAATTATGTGCCTTAAGTAATTGGCAAGAGAAAATTACATTAATAACTTAAAATAAGCTGCAATGAAAAGTCGCAAGCAAAGTAGTTTTAATTTAAACTTATAAATTAAGTAAAAATAATGTCCAAATATTGTGTTTTTACTGTAAAATAGTAAAACAATATAATTACTGATTAACTTAATTATTAGCATTTAAAAATGAAACCTAACTATTGTAACCGAAGTATTTAAGAAAGTACTAATTTAAACACAAATTAAAAACATTTATCTTTAAAAATATATACGATGCAAGAAAATAATTGTTACTGGGAAATCAACACCAGTGGGTTTCCTTCCATTGGAGAATAACAATATTTCAATATTTTGACGAAAACCTCCGACTTATTCTAGCATAGCATTTGAAGTAAAGCTAATTCTAAAAGCAACGACATTCATTCAAAACTATTATGCTATTTACCAGTCGTTTGAATGTAAGTTTTTCACTTAGTTCTAGTAAGCATTTATGAATCGTTGAAGACTTCTATTTTGTCTTTGGTAGTGAAACAACCCTCAAGTTATGTTTACGATGAAATTGTAATAATTGTGGTGTAACATACTGTGCTGTGTTTATATACTTGAGTTAACATTTTAAATGTGTAGGATATTTCTTTCAATTTTAACCTAATGTTTATGGGTTTGTCGTTTATTTACACATTTACAGTCGGGACCACGAGAGTCGGCAGTCGGTGGTAGCCAATCACAAGACAAGGCTAGTGCGACGTTGCCAATTCGCCCGTTGACGATACTAATTAAAATACTAAACAATATTTTCTAATCAGCTGATATTACTAGATTTGGCAACACCACGCTGTCCTCATTGGCTCCTTCAAAGTCACGTGGTAAATAGGCTCCTCCGTCAACTGCAGACTCTCGTGGTCCCGACTGTAGTTACAAAATACGATACTGCTTCCTTTTTAACCTCTTGGTTTGGTAATACTTTATTCATTGTTCCAATTTGATATCATGCACTCCTTGAACATTACAATTGTAAAATAAAACAAATACACCTAGAGATATTTTTTAATTAATCAACGGTTTTATACACTACTCACAGTTACAGTGAACATAATTTTATATTTGACGAACCATAATTTACATTGTGTGAAACATTCTGGGGAATTTATGCTTAGTCTTAAGCATTACAATATAAGCGACCTTTAGGTCAATTCAACTGGTATTTCGTAAGTGTTGTATGTGTTTGCAATACAAAGTCTTTGTCCTGATACATATTTTACTATAAGCGTTTCAAGTGTGTTGTTGGTGTTGATGTTTATTATCTAGCGATATATTTTTATGGCTCTTAAATATAAGCTGGCGGAAACTATTTTGATACGTAGTTCTAGTTTATCTAATCCTATCTAATACTTGTACATTTTATTGTGATACTAGAGATTTTCGGTAAACATTATCTATTGTTACATATTTTGTTGAATGTTACACTACTACATCTTACTTTTTAATTTAAGTATACTTTTTGGCATACGGTTCTTTTGTTTTACCATACCGTTTGACTTTCTTAATAAAATTGCATAAACTTTATACAGAAAAAAATAAGTCCATGCGAATGTGTGTTCGAACGAAAACTTCTTTTTCTGAACTAAACGGATAGTCTATTTTGTCCTATATAATATATAATTTTGAAATCTTCGTTTTAATCGATTAAGTATCAATAAGTATATGGTTCATAAACAGTTACATTTATGAACTTTTATTTTTGGTAAAATAATTCATTACCTAACTTTTTAGTATAGATATTGAGCCGTTTGCCGTCATATTGTTATATATTTGTAAAATTGATGGACCAATAAATATTATTATCGTTTTTAACTCGATTTTTATTGATTAAGATTCAATTTAGAAATCATTAGCTGGTAAATTAGTAATTTCATTGCACTTTTCACATTAAATAATCAATTAGGGGTGTAGTAAATGATTTTATTAATCATTATTAACTAAAAAAAACAATAGCAAAGAAATAGGTCTATTATATTTGCATTATGGAAATTAGTTGCTTATATTTCTCACACTACTTAATTAAGCTAAGGGCATTCTCCATGTCTCTGAAATATGCTACAACCATTTAATACATTTTAATTGTTTTTATTATACCTATATATTTTTTGAGCTATAACTTACCTTAATCTTGAACATTTGTAAGTAGCTTTTACCGAATTTCCCATATGGGATATAAGCTATTACCATAAGTCCCATGGTAAGACCTGGACCCAGGACCCATTTACTTTTTCGTTTTGAGGTCCCCACACAATTCTTATTGTCTTCCCTGTAGTAGAAAACCTAAGTAATTATTAAAATAGGAAATAAATCTGTTATTAAGGGTATTCCCTTATATATATAATAATAAATTCCAGCCAGGTAGATGGAAATTCTCCTAGCTTGCAGGTTTGCTGCGCCAGGGTTATTTTGTGAGTTATTAACTAGTGGTTTTAAATGCCACTAAAATTCACCTCAAATTCTACAAAATAGTTAGTACACAAATTTTCCCAGACAATACACAGTGAGAGATGAGTTGTCGCATTTAGCTTTGCTTACAGTGTACATCATGATTTGTGTCAACTGCAATCATCAATCAAATGTATGATCTCTACGTCACTGACATCCCGAACTACGCTGTCACTGACATTAACGTTACGCTGAAAAATGACGTCATGAATTATAACATCCAGTGTATGTTTATAAGCCATTAGCTATCCAGCAAAATTATGGGGAACAGAGTAGTTGTTTTTATGTTCTAACTTGTTTAGGATATGAGAATTACTGCTTTAATTTATAAATATTAGAGGTCGTCCAATGGTCGAAAACTCGACCAAAAATATATTATGTACAGACTTTTCATCCTAGGCTGTAAATAAAACTATGATTGAAATTTCTTCTATTTGTTCAGATTTTCTGTTAAAAAATCGTTGTTATTTCGTTACCAGCATAGCAACCCATAAGGCCCCTGTAATTTCTTTTTTATTTTGAATTATTCTTTTGTGTTTTTTTTTTAGTCTATTTTAATTTATAAATGTATTATATACATCTACAGGAGAATGTCTTTCTAACAGTATTCATAGATTTCCCGCGCGATGTACACGAGCTGAGAAAAAAGGTTTTAAAGAAACATCCTTGCCTATTAATATATGGATAGTTTTATGTACTATTTACTTAGGCCGGATTCCATAATTTCATATTATGGTTAATGCAAAAAAAGTTATAAATTAAGACACATAGAGTATAGAAACATGATTTAATAGTATATATCATCAGTAAGGGCGTAAAGTGAATCTGTTCGACACGAAGTCATGTTTTACGATCGAGGGGAAACCGAGGTCGGAAAATGAGCGAGGGTGGAAAAAGTCACTTTTTGCCCGTATGATGAACTATATTTGACGTCATATTGCACCATTTTAAGCATAGGCCTAGTTGAAAACGTCAAAATTGTTCACGTAATGATTAGCCTACCTCTAAAAAC